TGTTAATTAGTAACTAATCGTAGCTAATAAGTAACTAATCAGGAACTAAGCAGGAATGAATGAGTAGTGCTGCATTGACACGTAAGCAACTACCAAGGACTACTAGTTAACTACTCAGTAGGTGATGGTGAACTAATGATTAGGGTAGTTCACTATTAACTAAACAATAACTACTGAATCTCACAGAGAATTAATTAGCAACTATAGTTTCTTAGAATAACTACTCATAAATTACTGATCAATTCAACATTAATTGCTCAATAGCGAAGTCTTACAAGTTTCCCGGTGAACTGCTAACTGATGTAGTGTATTCCAACACTTCTAACAGTAGTGAAATACACTACACAGTGTGCAGTCTCTACAATATAATGGATTATATCCTCCATTTCTATTCACAGAAACAGGTATCCTCAGAGAAAGCTGAGGGGAACACAGAAAACACGACACTGTACTGACTGATGTCGTCAGTTTGCACATCAGCCTACAAATGGCACAACTGCTAAAACACTGCAGTGCTCAGTAGACCAGTCTGCTTACCTCTCATCTTTAGAAAAGAAAACACCATTCTTTTCTGCAGGAGCGTGTGTGCCAGTGTTTCTTCTGAAGAGTAATTCTTCTTTAAAGTCCTCTTGAGGGCAGGGTCAGTTGAAGAGATGGCTCACGGAAATATCTGACTGTGTATGTGTCCTGCCTTCAAATTCACTTGGTTCTAAATATTACCAAGTGATTATGTAATTACTTGTTTTTAATTGTAATTAATTGTTACTTGTAATTAATTGTTTATTACTATTTTTTGTACTATAGTACATTATTTCTTTAGAGGATTTTATTTCTAATGTATGTCACTTTATAATGCTGTTCCTGATTTTCATGAACTCCTAAGTTAATTAATGATGAGTTAATATGTGTTTCATTTTATAATACTGTTCCTGACCATCATTAACTCCTAGTTCATTAATAGTGAGTTACCATGTGTTTCACTTTATAATACTGGTCCAGATCATTATGAACTACTAGTTCATTAGTTATGACTTACCCTGTTTTTCACTTTATAATACTGTTCCTGATCATCATTAACTCCTAATGAAGACCACAGTAACAACATGTTCATTAATAATGAGTTACCATGTGTTTCAATTTATACTGTTCCTGATCATCATTAAATCCTAGTTCATTAATAATGAGTTACCATGTGTTTCACTTTATATTGTATCATCATGAACTCCTAATGAAGAACAGCAACACCTCATTCATTATCTAACAGACAGTAATTACATAATCACTTGGTAATATTTAGAACCAAGTGAATTTGAAGGCAGGACACATACACAGTCAGATATTTCCATGAGCCCTCTCTTCAACTGACCCTGCCCTCAAGAGGACTTTAAAGGAGAACTACTGTTCAGAAGAAACACTGGCACACACGCTCCTGCAAAAAAGAATGGTGTTTTCTTTTCTAAAGATGAGAGGTAAGCAGACTGGCCTATTGAATACTGTAGTGTTTTAGCAGTTGTGCCATTTGTAGGCTGATGTGCAAATTGGTTCACACTGCCAAATATGAAGATGTGCATTAGCCTTTTAAGGTTTCTGATCAAAACAAACACATGAGGGACATCAGTCAGTACAGTGTGGTGTGATGCCCCCAGCCTTCTCTGAGGACACCTGTTTCTGTGAACAGAAATGGAGGATACCATCCATTATATTGTAGCACACTGTGTAGTGTATTTCACTACTTGTAGAAGTGTTGGAATACACTACATCAGTTAGCAGTTCACCAAGAACCTTGTAAGACTCCGCTATTGAGCAATTAATGTTGAATTGATCAGTAATTTATGAGTAGTTATTCTAAGAAACCATAGTTGCTAAGTAATTCTCTGTGAGATTCAGTAGTTATTGTTTAGTTAATAGTGAACTACCCTAATCATTAGTTCACCATCACCTACTGAGTAGTTAACTAGTAGTCCTTGGTAGTTACTTAAGTGTTAATGCAGCACTACTCATTCATTCCTGCTTAGTTCCTGATTAGTTACTTATTAACTATGAAACATTTGTGAAGTGTTAACCTTATTTTCACTTAGAAGATTAATAAAAATGTGACATTTGTCCAGGGGATCACAGATCACAAACTTTTACGCACAAATGCATCAATTTTGTTTTTGAATCAGACTGTATTTGTATTTTAACAGGTGGTTTAGTTTTTAATCAGTGTTCAGTAGAGCTGGGCGATATGGCCAAAAACATTATCACGATAAACAAAATTCATATAGTTCGATATTTCTTTCACGTTTGAAGGCTGATTTTGCTCCTGGGTGGTTAATTGTGGTTTTAAACTATTATTTATGGTCCGATCATGACAAACACTGGCAAACAGTGGAACATTTCACTAATCTGTCATGGAAGAGTGGGAGAAAGTGTCTGAGCTGTTTTTATCAGCTTGAAAAGCACAGCTGCAATTTTTGTAATAGTCATAATTTAAGAAAGAAAACAGATTATTTTTAGCTGTCTGGCGACGAGCGCTCGGCTACCCCGTTACAAATACTAAACAAGTGGCCAACAACAGTGCTAAACTCTTTAGTTTCTCAACAATGACAACTCGGTTCGGTAGGTCACTGCTGTCACTCCTACCACATCCATGTCAGAGCATATCACAGTATTCAGACAGCAGCTAGCGACGACTGGGTTTCTCTGTTTAAGGGGTGAACCGCAGTATATCTGACACTCGCTGTGTAAAAGCATCATCTGCAGTGTGAATCTCTCACACCAGACAAACAGAGTCCTCCTTTTAGGTATGTTTAAACTGAAAGCGGTGATTTTGTGTCTTGTTTGATCTACCGTATCATCAATTCACCGTGTTGTGCCGAAGCGCTGCTTCAAGTTAGCCAGCAGCTAAAAACAGCTAGCCTGGAAAGACAGCGCTCTCCCGCTCTCCAATGCCTCACAGCTCAGTTTACTTTCGAACATTAACCCACTTCTTTCTTTCACTTTTGTTGCTCGAGAATGCACTAATACTAAAATATGACGGTTTGGCGCTGTAACACAACGCTGCAGACGTGACTTAACACCGCTAAAGGTGTTAGGAGGCACGGAAAGAGGTGAGTTCACTGTAGGTCAGTACAGTTACACCACTGACCTCGTCACTCACACTCGGTCACAGGAGAGCAGATCGCCGATAACATCCACTCAAACAGGGACTGTATAACTCCGCGTTTCAGATGTTGCTGAAGTATATTTGGCGACCCTTTTTTTACTCGTGGCCCCCTCCCTCTCTAATCAAGTCGAAAAATTCGGAAGTGCGCCCTCTCCTGGCGACAGCAGAGTAGTTTCGCCTTCCTTGCAGTAGAAAACGCCTCCAGGGCTTTCGCTGAACGTGGAAGTGTGAGAATGGTGTATTATATCGAACATTTATCGAACCTGTCTTATCGCTCTATCGAGGAAAAGATATATCGCGATACTTATCGTTATTGTTTTACCGCCCAGCCCTAGTGTTCAGTATTTTCTTGTGTTCCTAATGTCTCACCTTTTCACCTGGTTTCTGATGAGCATCTTCAGAATATGCAGATTATAACTGTCCAAAAACAAACAAACAAAAAACCTGGACCAACAGAAATGATCTGAAACGTAAAACTGCATTACGTTAACTTACATTAAAGGTGAAGAATATTGTTGTATTAACCTGTTTAGTTACCATTGTGGAGATACTTGCTTGTTTGTTTTTTGGACAGTGACTGTGTGATGATGACCACGACCGAGTCACCATCACCAGACAAGTTCTGCGAGGCCACACCTCCTCACTGGAAAAGACAACTGACAACGGACTTTGAGATGACGATGTATAAGGACGCGATTATTCATTTAAATGTCTCCGTAAAGAGAGTGTACATATCAGATCGGGCAGCTTAAACTTTCACTTTTAAAACACGTTAAATGATAAAACTCAAACATCTAACTCGGTACACTAACAAACCAGGAGGAAAACATAAAAGAGGACGATAAAGAACCCGTGTACTTACCTTCAGACCCCCGGGGGAAGAAATTCAAAAGGGTTGAAACCACCCGTTGAAGGCTGAAACCACCTGTTTTCCGCCAGGGTTTTCCTCAGCTCTCCATACGGACTTGTAAACGAGCAAGGCGATTATCACCGCTGAGCGGTACAGTCCGATCGCGTTTGGCGAGAAGAGGAATGCATAAAAGCGATATAGCTTAACTCAGGAAAAGGGGGGGCTTGCTCGAAGCTGGAAAGAGGTGGACTGAGCGGACTAAGTCTTCCTTAAGTGTCCTGCAGACAAATCTATGGACTACAGCCAGAAGTTATTGCTGTCAAGCCCTGAGTTGTGGAGGATGAATAACTTATATAAAGGCAGCATTGAGCCTCGTTTATTTTGTAAATATGTTTCAGTTGTTTGCTCTTTTTGCATTTTACTTTCGTCACTTGTAAATAGTGCACTTATTTGGTGGTTTCAGAGAACTAATAAAAGGCGTGGCTATTAAATTGGAACTCCTAGTGTCCTGGCTTCCCCGCATCTCCCCTTGGGCGCTATGACCACACACAAAAAGTACCACAGACTGTATCTTCGTATTCAGATAATATTTCAGTAATGACATCGTATAAACTGTGTAACACATGATGGATTTAATATGAAAGAGTGTTTGTTTAGTCTGAGTTTTTCTGTAAAAAGAGTTAAAATCAACATCTGCAGTTCATCTGAAACCAGTATTCTCAAACAGACACTTAAGAACCAGTACAGCTCCAGTGTAGTGGATCTCATGTGCACTGCAGATGTTTTTAGACAGTAAAATTACCCAGAATGCATTAATGATAATTAATGATTTCAGAAACTGGTCTGTTCTAAAAGTATAATAATAGTGTGATAATAACAGTTAAAGTGTGGAGGTGTGTTCTGTGAACTACTATTGAAAATGATCATGCTTTATAGTTTACATAGACATAGAAAACATCTTCATCAGAATTATCTGTTCTGAGGATTTCTTTCTCTCCACAGAGAGACCAAAAGCTGTGGTGTTCATACAGCCTGATAAACAGGTGTTTATAGGAGAGACTGTCACTCTCAGATGTGACACACAGGGAGGAGGAGACACTGACTGGCAGCACAGCTGGTTTAAAGATGATTCATCCACTCCTTTCAGTAATGAACAGCAGTACAGAATCAGCTCTGTTACAGAGTCTCACAGTGGAAAATACACCTGTAGAGGAACAGAGAGAGGAACATCACGCTACTCACACACCAGTGATGCTGTTACACTGACTGTATCAGGTGAGTGTGATCATCTCTTCAGCATTCATTAATCTCAGTATCACAGCAACACAGATGAGACCAGATGTTTAGTTTGTGTTTTTATTAATGAAACTGACTCTAAATACTCTGAATATGCGCTGTTGTTCTCTTCTTTCTGTAGATAAACCCAAACCTACACTGACTGTAGAACCAGACAGTCCTGTGTTCAGTGGAGAGTCAGTCACTCTGAAGTGTGAGATTAACACTCGTGATGGATGGACATATCAGTGGTATAAACAGAATAAACAGAGTAGATGGACTGCAGTGTCTCAGTCTGTGTATTACACTGTAAACAGAGACACTCTCACCATCAGAGAAGATGCTGTAATTAATGGAGATCAGTATCAGTGTAGAGGAGAGAGACGTTACAGACCAACATCATCACAGTACAGTAACTCTGTTACACTCACTGTAAAGGGTGAGTTCATTAACATTTATATTTTATGTCTTTTCATGTTGGCCACATATAAACACGTAAGTTAATCAGTCTGTTGGAGACTGTAATGATTCTTCTTTTATGGTGATTCTTTCGGTGATCTGGAACAGTGGTCCCCAAACCTGGTCATGGAGAACCCTTTGATCTGAACACTTTAGCAGTGATGTGGGAAGGTGTTTTACGATGGGCGGCTGAAATTTTAAGCAGCCTAAATGTGGTGTTACAAATTACATCATGCAAAATGATTTCTGTTTTTTTTTCATTTTATTTATTTATTGATTTGGAATTTTGAATAATTTATGCCAAACAAATTGTGTCATTCATCTATAATAAGGTGAGAGGTGACAAGATAAACATCTAACTGACAAATCAAACCACTGATGCACATCCTCTCTCTGCTCTCTGGATGAACTTTATGTAAACAAACTGAGCTTTATGTAAATAAGCTGAGCAGTGACCAGTCAGATCGTTGATTTGTGTAGCAGTAACTGATTGTGTCTTTTAGTCACACAGTGAGATTTACACTGAAACTCTCACAGAGTGGGAGATATAATAGTTAATAAAACTGCATTACTACATTAGGTGATTATTTATGAGTTTAAAATGAATATTAAGCTGCTTTGGGACTCAGAACTGATCTATAACTCTGCACAGACTTTCTCTCTTTGCACCTCAACCTGCGTGTGTTTGAGTGACACTGACTCAAAGCGTCCAACAGTTTTCAGCTCACTGTAATGAAAATACTGCATTCACTTAAACAGAGCAGCTACTGCAGATTTAGAAAATATAAAAACACAAACTCTGCTCTAAAACAAGCTCACACTGAATCTTTACTCCTCTCAGATTAATATAAAGTTTAAAAAGAGCAAAAATGAAAATATTAAGCAAAACAGTAAGTTGTTTTTCTCAAACAAACTTAAACATGGAATTTTCCACCAATTTTAGTGCATAATTTCTATTTTTTGCATTACATAATGGAAAAAACAAAATATTGAAACAATCTTAAAACAGCCCAAGGTTTATGTTTTGTTTTTCTAGTAAGTTAAAATCAGCAAATAAACAGTAATTGTGCATTAAAATGTGCAGAAATGTTTCTCTGTAGAGGATGTGTAACTTATTTTAACTTAGAAAATCAATAAAAATGTTGTTTGTCCAGGGGCATATAAACTTTTACACACAACGGTATCAGTCTTGTTTTTGAAATGAGACTGTATTTGTACCTTAAAGGGTGGTTTACTTTATAATCAGTGTTCAGTCTTTTATTGTGTTCCTAATGTCTCACCTTTACAACTGGTTTCTGCTGAGCATCTTCAGAATATGCAGATTATAACTGTCCAAAAACAAAGGAGGAAAGTATAATAAAAAGTATAATAATAGTGTGATAATAACAGTTAAAGTGTGGAGGTGTGTTGTGAGCTACTATTGAAAATGATCATGCTTTATAGTTTACATAGACATAGAAAACATCTTCATCAGAATTATTTGTTCTGAGGATTTCTTTCTCTCCACAGAGAGACCAAAAGCTGTGGTGTCCATTCAGCCTGATAAACAGGTGTTTATAGGAGAGACTGTCACTCTCAGATGTGACATACAGGGAGAAGGAGACACTGAGTGGGGCTATAGCTGGACTAAGGATGATTACCCATCATACACAATCGGTACAGAACAGGAAGTCAAATACATCTCTGTTGAAAAGTCTCACAGTGGAAAATACACCTGTAAAGGAGCAACACACACATATTACTCACAGATCAGTGATGCTGTTACACTGACTGTATCAGGTGAGTGTGATCATCTCA